ATATTTTGAAATATTAGTATTTTCATATTTCATGGTTTAGTACACTGCACGACACCCAAGACAACATTTTATTCACAGACATTTTGTTAATAATATTATTGACATTTATTAATTGCTTGAACAAAAAAAAAAAATTTGAAAACACTAAACAAATAATAAAGAACAATATTTACTAGTGATAAACTCGTTTTGCAATCCCATACAATTCACAAATAAAACATGATTTTATAGGAAGGAACACATAAAAAATAAAAAACAACAAATTAATAACTTATTAGACATTTTTAAATAACATTATAATATTAAAGTTGAATGTCTTTAAATTTGAAAATCTTAAAAATCACTTTGAAGCTAAACACTGAATTCGTATTGAGAATCAAAATATATAGGTATTTAATATTTACCTTCAATGTTTTTAAAATTTAGTACTGTTGACTCAATATTCATATTATGTGAATTCGATTGTAAATGGGAAATCAATCCGTTCATTGTATGAAAAGACTTGGTACATGTAGCAAATGAACATGAAATATTTAAATGCTCAGTAGTATTTATGTGACCTTTAACGTGTTTAATTAACTAATAATTAACATTGACTTAAGATTAAATGATTTATCACAATCATTACAGAAGTACACATTTCTTTTCAAAAGTCTGTGCTTTTTAAAACCCTCATGTTTTTTCCTTAAATGCTTATTTAAACCTGAAATGGACATACATTCAGCTTGGCAAACCTCACAGGAAAACATATTAAAAATAATATACTAATTTATAAAAAAAATTGTATGTCAAAATAAAACTTAAAATTGGGAAACCGGAAAATCTACTATATAGTCGGCGCTGGCTAAACAAGAAAAGTTTACTAACAAGGAGTACACTACTAAAATAGGCAATCTTYCAATAACCCCGAAATCTCCAATTTATTGTTGAGTGCCCTACTTTTATTTAATGCGATAAAATAAAATGCAATGAATACCTAGGTATTTTCGACGTTCAGCTTTGACTATCCTCTTATTGCTGTTATTATTAGGGCCCGTATTACAATAGTTTAACTCAGGTTAAACCACCGAATTCGGCCGGTAAAATCAGTGGTTCAAGCGTAACCGAGGTTTAAACTATGATTGTAAAACAGGCCCTTAATGTCTTACGAAATACATTGATGGGTAATCGTATAAATCATATTTCCCCGCATATTTTTAATTAATAAATCTAGAATCACAATTTATATGCAATATTATAATACCGTGATAAGTGATGTGGTTTTAAATAATAACCACGAACGTGGTCATTACCATGGTATAAGTGTGATAAGGAAATGGATCATACGAAAAATTTTTCCTGCGAAGAACAGCTGTTCGTTAAAAATTAAAAATCAGTCTTTCTCTCTTCCTCGTTCCTCATTCCATCCATACTCCCCCCTCTATTTTATTAATATAACCATGACCTATACGGCATTCTTTAATATTTATGCAAATGGTATATATTATTATCATCTTATCAGTTATCAGTAGTCATCAGTTCACTACTCACCACTCACCARTCACCCGTTATTAATTAATCACGCGGTACGGACTAAGGCAGCGCTATCTTCGTAAGCACGGTCGAGTAGCGTCGGGCTACGGCCTACGGTTTTAGAAGACTCTTGGACTCTTCAGTTAGTTGCTTAGTTCACTTCTTCCGTGTTCAGTTCATAGTGTTCACACTACTCACTCACTTTCTAGTTTCTACTTTCTAGTCACTTCACCTGCTCACTACTTTACACTTGTGCACTGTGCAGTACTGCAGTAGTCCATCACTGCAACCAGTGTAAATGCAAATTGCAAATTGAGTTGTTGCAACAGTCCGCTCCCGGCGTCTAAGCCACTACAGTCTATGGTTCAATTTCAAATCTATATTTTTACACTGACATTGTATTGATAATTCGTCAATATCATATCTGGTACGTTGGAGCCTGTTAATAAGGCCAACATTTTTTGTTAWGAGAATAATTTACTTCAGTTGTTCAATATGCATAAAATATATGCAATTATTAAATACTAGTTACTGTAGAAGTATTTATTAAATTATTCAACTATCGCTTTAACATAAATAAATTCACACCAATAAAAGTTTAAAAAATGCAAAATATAATTTTTTTATAATCAATAATATAAGATACTATAATATTATAAATTATTATTTATTATGTTCATACATTTATTTTTATACTTTTCAAGGTTGGATTGGACAAATTCAGCCCACTGAGTTTTTTGTGCTTTTTATCGGCCCTTTTAAAAACTTTATTTCAACAACACCTATACAACTTACTATATATTATAGTCTGTGAAAGTCTAATACTTAGACTTATTTTTTCAACTTTAACTTTTAACATATTTTCAGTCAGCAGCCTCATGATTTGAGACTGATTCCTAGCTTAAAATACAATTTTTTATTAAAATTATTTTATAATTAAAGAACTTACTATTTTTCATGTAACACTAGCAAATTGTCAAAAATAATTTAAAGAATACTGTACAATGTGCTATATGTATTGTATGTAATATTTTGAAGATATTTTTACTTGAAGTATTCAATATTAGTTTAATTATTAGTTATTGGTAGATTTTATTCTGTTTATGTTGACTTTATGAAAACTCTTTTGAAGAGTTATTTAATTTTATAGTAAATCGACAAAAAAACGTAGTTAATAAAAAAATATGTACCTACTCAAGTACCTACTTAGGTTATATTGTTATTTATGATGTTTATGATTCGGTTTTGCGCTCTACTGAAATTTGTCTGAGTCGGTATGTGTGATTTTGACTGAGTTAGATAAAAAATGATCTCTATTCACGATTTGAACGTCTTCTAACATGACGAGAAAAAGGTCCTAAACCAAGGCAGTTAACACACACAGTAATTGTAGTCCAATATCCGTGTAYCAAACGTAGACTGAGTGTAGAATGCCACGACCGGAAGAGCGCATACCGAATTAGCACTAAATTAACCTCAAAATTAGAATAATTTCTCTTTATTTTAAAGGACATAATATCATTGAACCTATTATATATTATTTTAAATTAAAATATTTAAAAAATAATAAAATGGATTCCCTTAATTTTTGTTTCAGATTAAAATTGTGAATATGCTACCTGCAGATTGTCGAGTTAATTCTGATTCTGATGACAGTTTAGATCGTTTTCCCAGGAAAAAAACTAAAATATCACATATAAATAGACAATCGTTTGATAGAGATATTTCAATTGATGAAGGTAGTCAAAATTATGATGAAATTGAAATGGACAAATATTTTGAAAATACAAATCAAAATTTGAACAATAATCAAACTGTATCTTCTGGAGTATCTGATGATGATGACTTTAATGTTAATAAGTATGAAGATAGTGAAAGTGAAGATTATTTACCTATTTCAGATGGTGAATTTGAATTAGAAAAGTATGTAATAAATGAAACAAATTCTAAGCCTAGCGATAATGAAAAAACTGATGTCAAATCTGTCAAAGATGTTTCTGGGAGTGTCAATGATCATAATAATGATAAGGAAACAATGATTAAAACTTATAAATCCATAGGTATAGATAATGACGAATTATATGATTTACTAGATAAAGCATATAGAGATAAAAATAAAACCCACAATGAACATAAAAAAAAGGCTGTTACTCAAGATGACTTTAAAGAATATGAAAAAATTGTGTTAGAGGAAGTATGTAAAAACCATTTTGATATTTTGCCTGAAAATTGGATCGAAGCAACTCATAAAAGTGGCATGCCTATTTATTTACACAAGAAAAGTAGAGTTGTAACATTATCAAGACCTTATTTTTTGGGACCAGGCGATCCTAAATCACATTTAGCACCATTATCAGCTATTAGTTGCTTACAATATCAAAAAGGTCTAAAGAATAAAGAAATTATAAAAAATGAACCAGATTTTCAGGTTAGTAAACTTGGTGATATGATTATACCAAATGCCAAAGTGGAGACTGCACAAGAAAATATTATCAAAGAATCTTTAACACATGCAGAGTTACGGGAATATTGTCAATCACTATTTAAGTAAATTAACACTTGTTAATTGTTTTAACAAACATAATATTATAGTTTTTTAATTAATATTTTTTTTTCATGCAATAAATTTTAACCATTCTTATTTTTCAGGTTCAAGGTTAAAGAAGTGAAATCTCCTTGTAAAATGTTGAAAGAACNCATCAACATTATCTTTAAAACAACTAGTTTTGTGAAATAGTTTTTGTCAAAAAAATTTATTTTTCATGAAACCCTATCATTTAAAAAATATTAGAATTTGCAATTGTGAATTATCTAGTGATTGGCTTATGCGTGATATTAAGATAATACAAAAACAAAAGTGTCGAATTAATTTCATTAATTATAAACCATCAATAAAAAAACAAAACTATAACTGTCTATAACCAATGTTAGGAACATTAAGTAACATACTAATATTTACAACATTTTTAATTTTTATGATAAAAACTTTGTTCTTATATTACAAATTAAAATGCATATATAACAAATGTTTAACCTTAACATCTTAAATAATCTTTACTACATAATATTAACTTAACGTTTATATGACACAGTCTCTGGGTAGACTATACCAATGTGTTATTAAATACTGTATTATCAAAAACTATTAAAGTTGTTAACCATATTTATAATGATTAATGAATATAAATATTAGTGAACCACAAATACTAACCTACCCTATACCATAATATTAATATGATATACAAAAATATGAGATATAAAAAAAATACGCACATAATTATTTTTTGTAAATATAAAGGAATTAATTTCCCAATTTGTTATTATACATTTGATGTTTTTTAATAACCCAGTACAAAATTTGTTGCCCTCCCCAAATKTTGCAACCCTAAGCCGCTGCCTACAGTGCGCTCCTTAATGGGAAAACCTCCTCTGATTATTACTATTACGTTTTTTCATAATTCTTTTATTTCCATCAATTTTATTTCTTGCCTGATCTTGAACTCTGGAAAAAAAATCTGTAGATGTCCACTACTAATTAACCGTTTCAGTTCTTTTTGAGTAATACTATTATTATACTTATGATAATTATATGTACAGACAGGTAAAGTACAAACATATTATATTATTATGAATTGCGGAAAAAAAATCCCCGGGAAAAAATATTCCTGGAAAAAAATCCCCCGACGAACGACCCCGGAAAAAATCCCCAGACCGCAATATTACTCACAACCTCATGAAAATGGTTGAACATATATTTTTAAACGTGAATTAACACCTATTCACAGTAA